TATTATTTGATAAATTATAACAGTAAAACGTCGACTAAATGAAATGACCAACAAAAGAATTCATCATTCTTTAAGTCACTGAAGAATTTTAGAAGAAAGTTATGAAAGATGAATTTATTTAATTTTTTTGTTGGATATGTAGGTACTTACAGCAAAAAAGAATTAAGTAATAATTTGTCTACAGACGAAATACCGAAATACTTTATTACAAAAATTTGTTAAAATTTACTTCACTATCCAAGTATTTACTTACATACCTATACTTATCTTTTGTAATTAAAATATTTTCAGTTATAATAACACAAATACTAAAATTAAAACTTTGTATACTAACAAGATTTTTAACTAAGTAGAATAGATCACATTTCTGTTAGGAATCGTATTTCAGATTTATTTGTTGTTTACACCATCTACCTATTTCTTCCGAACCAAGCGTTGCGATTCCCGACGAATGACCTTGCAATTTGCATGCATTAGGCATCGCAGAACTCAGGCGCGAAAATATGGTCAGTCGATCATAGTCAGAATAGGTACTTCACCTAAGTAACATAATTAACATTTAGCAATGTTGTTTTTTACTTTCTATTGACATCCCTTAATAACCACGGAAAGTGATTCGGATCACTGTGAGACGGATCTGATTAATATAATATGTATTAAACATCGGCAAGCAGTCGACATCAAAGGAGTGCAACTTCTGTACGTAGTACTATTATTTATTCTGTGACACCAGGTTCCGATACATTTTCAACTACTGGGCATATCTCCTTCATTATTATATCTCTGGTTTGGGGACATACTGTGACGTCAAGCCGTCATCATGCAATGACGCTTGGATCGCATTACACATGCCGAACAGCTGGCTGGCCGTTTGTTGCAGAGCTTGCACTTCGCGCACGATATGCAACTTTGATGTGACGTCGCACTGTATGACGTCGTCCGGCATAGTGAAACTCGCGCAAGGATGTGTATTACAAACCAAAGACTTCACTATTCACTTACACAATGAGCCAAAAAAAATACCAAAATGAAAATCGACAACTACTACTTCGATATCCCAACTCTGAACGCATGTCATACACAAAGTTCAAAAATACTAATAATATTAAACTAAGTTTGTATAAAAAGGGTTAAGTATTATAATATTAAGGAATTTATGGATGATAATAACCCCTGGGAAGGGTGATCGCTATCAAGCTATTTCTAATTTGTCTTGTGTTGTTTATTGTAAACATTATTATAAGCTATTATTGAAAAAAAGGTCCCGCTGGGTTTCTTGCTGGTTCTTCCCAGGACAGAGTTTTTTTTTTGCGAACCAGTGGTAAATGAAAAAAGTGACTTTCTATAAGTATTGTTATAATCTACATTGAATAAAAAAGTTACTGTTTCTGTTTCTGTTTCAAAAATCCCAGCCCCTAAATTTCGTGAACGCACTTCGCGGCAAACGTCCCGATACCATCCACCCCATCTAGATGCTTGGCGGTTAACCACTGTACGTTTCACAAGGAGTTTTCTTCCGCGTACGACCTCTCTGTGGAATAGTTTACCACCGGCGATTTTTCCGGACCGATACGACCTGGGGACCTTCAAGAAAAGAGCTTACTCCTTTCTAAAGGGCCGGCAACGCACCTGCAATTCCCCTGGTGTTGCGGTTGATAATGGGCGGCGGTAGTCACTTAACATCAGGTGAGTTCACAATAATTACTTCACATCACAAACCATGCTCGTTTGATACCTCTTCAATAAAAAAAATGTAAGATAAAATTAACCACCTACATACTCGTACATAATAGAAACTGAATCAACAGAGCTGTAAACACTATTAGTTACATTACTTCCGAAAATCTCTGTGATTACGTCGGTAAAATAAAAAATTTAAGTGAATAGTATCGATACCGTAATTATTATGAATGTTTATCATATTATAAAAAAAACATTTGAATCGTTTTAGGAAACGGTAGCGCCTGTTGGTCGCGGCTTATCGAAGTTACTGCCACGTACGAGCGCGACTGATGGCACTCTATAAAAAATAATATTAGCCCTATATACTATGATATCTAAGATAATATTAATGAAAGTACTTTTATACCCCGAAGGCAGTTTAAAATAATAAACAAAATAAACAATAATGCTTTATTATTATGAAAATAAATTTGTCTTTCACGTACCTATTACAATAAAGGAAATTACTTAAATAAAAATGCTAAGTAATTATTGTGTTAGGAGTAAGTTATTCACAATTTGGTATAATTCACAAAAAGTATTTTATAAGCTGGACCATAAGGGCTGTAAATAGAGATGCGCATTGAGCAGACACTAAACCACGGGTGCGGAGTAGCCCGCTCCCTGTACCATTCACTTTCACAGTGGCAATTTATGACTCGTACTGCAATAATAGATATATAATATATACTTTTAGCGTGACCACCACGTGTTAAAATCTTATGGAAACTATCGTAGAATCTTGTTCTAGTGTAAATTCTGTCTTCACTTTCCTCTTTCGCAACGAACCAGTCGTAAGGTGCTCCGCAACCCTTATGGTCAACCGTTAGTACAACAGATCTTTCCTTACGTAAAAAGCAAAAAGAAAGTTAATTACATTCATTATCTAATGCAGACTTATTCTATTGTCTATCTTTCTTTATTCTGTCGTGATTATCTGTAGGCTTAAAATAACTTAGACATTATTAAGTATCAAGCAACCAAGCTAATCTTAAGTCTCTCTGACCAGACGTGTTGTGGGTTTCCTCACTCTCACGACGACGTTTCTTTTACAGTTGATGAGAAACAATCATACTTAGAAGTTTTTGAAAAAAAAACATGACCTTCGATTTGATTTGCTTAATTATATTATTTAGAAATTATCTCTTATATAAGGCTATTTTATGTTTTACTTTCCAAATCGAATGCTATTCAAAACAATAGGAACGTCCTATGACCTTCGATCAACAATACTGATCGAAGCCTATGTCACTTGAAAAGTACGGCTTGCAAAGAAAATTAATATTAGTATTACCAAATCTATTGAAGTCATAATTAGTTTTGAAAATAACGGTTTTTTTTTCATTGCTGGCACCGTTTCGGCAAAAAGTAAATTCATAAATTTATCAAATATAATTATAAGTAATATATAAATTAAATTAATAATTGATGTGCTAGATTTCGGTAAAAATTTTCTTTCATGTTCCTTATGTATTTATTTGTAAATTTACAGCTATGATGTCATAATATAGCGCCAGGCAGTCCTATTCTTAGATAATTGAATCGCATAGATGGAGACAGGTTTAGGTATAATACCTGAGAATTTTTTTCTAAAGCTGAGAAGAGCTCGGTCTTTACGTTAAGTAAAGACCGAGCTTAGGTACTATAACTTTTTTATGGTAGACTACGGCTTAAAAATATCACACGATATAATTTTGACTACATACAAATAGATATTTTAAAACGTAAAAGAAGCGTTTGCTATAAATTTTACTACGATTAGTTAATATAATAATAAATGGTTAAACTAAAAATGGTTTAATAAAATGTTTTGTGTTATGTTGTAAAAACATTAACCATTACCTAATAATATCTACTACTATCACATAAATTATTTTATGCTAAACTTATTTAACCAAAACTAAATGCTAAGTTAATACTTAATGACATTTACTATTAAAAATGCTGCACTTTTAATAATCTATAAACAATTTGACAGAAATACAACTACTTACATTAAATTTATTTGAGATGCCTAAGTTTTATGCTTTGGTACTTTAAATCTTTAGTTTTGAACTATTACTAAGTAAAATGAGACTCTTCCAGAGCTTCAGACTTGTTATGCAAACGGGCTGTTCAAACCCAGGCCGCACAACACAATGGAGAAGAGAGGTACTTAACGCGTTGGAACACAAAATGACGTAGGACCGTAGACAGAGAAACCTATAGACTAATGATCGGCGTGGCCTCGAGTGAGAAAGGACGATAACGAATTTTTAGGTTATAGAATTATCTTTATGACTTTTAAACACATTTAGATAAAAAAAATTTAATTGTTCTAAGAACTGAACTGAACAAGATTCACCAATCTTAAGCTCACAAAACACTTTTTTCTCACTTAAAACAACTTGTAAACTCCTTAAATCGCTACGCTGTCAAAGTTGTTTAGCAAACTGTAGAGTTTGCTAAACAAAAAAAACCTGGCACGGAGAAAGGGACAAACAATCACACCGCTCTATCTCAATTCTATGCAAGACGTATGCATAAATCTAACTTTTTCGTGTGCGAATGCGAAAGAAGGCGTCAATTTGTCTATAGGTTTCTCTGTCTACGCATAGGACAGTATAAGACGTCATACATTTGCGCCATATTGGAAAAGTTTTGGCGATTATTTTGTCATTTTGTGCTCCAAAAATCATTGTATCCTCTTAATGAAGATACCAGCAATTATTCTATAATTTTTTGTATTTGACTAAATAAAAACAAACAATTAAAAGTTGTTTTATTATGGCTGGATATCCGACACGATATGGTGGTGGCACACCAGTACAATATAGTCTCAATTGATGACGTCATTTGTATTCGGCAGTATACTAAAAACGTTTTGGAACATACCCTGGATAAACCACAATTTTTAAAGTGGTATCTGACATTAATCTGACGGTAATCAATTACAAAAAGAAATAACAAACGTCCAATAGAAAGTAAAAATAATCAAAACCGTTGTCAGGTGAAAATTATAAAAAAAATGTCTCCTAAGCTACTAATAATCGCGGAACATACATAACAACGCGGTTCGATTAACTAAATATTATCTTTGGACATTTCTTCTCCGGCCATCTTGTGCTACAAATGGGTCGGCCCGATCGGGGAAAGACCACGCTCTCACAGATTATCAGCGTTTTGCATTTTGATTCTTAATCGTTGATAGATGTAGGTGTCTATGGGATACAGCGTTCACTTAACATCAGTTGGACTGTGTGCTCGTTTGTCACCCTTACCCCTTAAAAAGTGCTCACCTTCCTGGGCATAGGGAGCGACATGACGACGAGCGTGGCGCCGCTGGAGTTGTGCAGCAGCAGCTCACGCAGGCGCAGCTGCCGGTTCGTCTTGTCCGCCAACGTGTTCAGCTCCGTCTCGCTTATATGGCACTCTGCATACATACGCCGCATTAAATATAAGTAAGCCGATAACACTATACATAGTACACAATTCACTAAGTTGCTGGAATTATGAATGACTCAATGCTTTCTTGATATTTAAAGGAAGCTAATTCCATGATGCTGTAGCTCGTCCTAAAACCCTCTCAAAAATGTGAGGATACCTGTCTCTACCAGTGGGACGTATATACGCTGTAACTTTAACATTAACTTTATAGCTTTAAGGCCGCATTTAGGGCAGGGTAACAAGGGGTCTAGCCTCGGGGCCTCTACAAGGGAGGGCAACTTTGATCCTGTTAAAAATAAAAAAGATATAACAAATAATGAAGACAAAAATATCAAAATATACAAAGGTGATTTGGAACCGATCTTGGTAATGAGTTGCTCCAATTAGCTTTGTTAATCGTTCTCTACAAAAACGATTATCATAAAACCAATCTATAAAGCTCTTTCATTATCAATTACTCGAAAACCAAAATTTCAGAGCTACATTTCCAAATGTCGAAATTACGTTGAGAATGTACTTGGTATTGAAGGTGTCAAACTTCACTGAAGAGCCCTCCTTTTCTAGAATGAAAATTATAAAAAGATAGACTTCGAACTACAATGACACAAAACCTATCAATGTTATCGCTGAGTATTGAAAGTGATTTACTACGAGAACTGATTTTTACCAAAATTACTGATTTCGTACACTAAAAATCGGATAAAACTATTTATACGGATTTTTTCGCAATTGATTAACTACTATTATATCAGATTTGATAGACCACAAATCCTCGTAAAAACACCGATTCTTACCAAGGATAAAACGCGAGGCTATTGAAATTAAAAAACATCCTATTTCAATAGAGAAGATGAATGGGTGCTACCATCTGCTTAGGATCATATAATTAACCCAAGTCCAAACCCATGCATACCACTGTGGGACTTCATGATACTGTAAACTCATTCTGCGTAGATCGGACCCAAAATCATTATTCAAAAACTGAAAGTAGCCGGGTTAACTATGACATCGGGACGTCAAACATCTCAGTCCCTCCCGTGACCATAGGTGCTGTAAAGCACCCGACACGTCTGGAATTAAAAATAAGTAATTAAACGCGAAAAAAGTCGTATTAATAGTTAGACTAGTGCGCCGCCTCGGCTTCGCACGGGTGATTTCTGGATCTCGACCACAGTGCCACCTACCGGGTCCAATTTTGAGTTTAGATTCATTGATATGATTTATCATATAGCGCCTCACTCAAACGCACACAAAAAATTTCCTCAAAATCGTTCTTGCCGATTTTTATATATAGATTTTTCGGGAAAAGAAAGGGATGGTTTCGTTCTCGTATTATTTATCTCAATTTTCTTTTATATATTTTTAGTATTATGTATTATAAATTATGGAAAACTGTTGAATTATATTATATTAATTCCAAAGAACGAGCTTTACCCTCCTCCCAATTAAAAAATATTTTACATACCTTCACTGGTATTTTCGTCTATAAACTTCTGTATTATTTCATCGAACAGTTGTTTAGTCTCGGGCTTCGGAGGTTCCGTGATGTCCTGCACCATTGTCAAGGACGAGTAGTCTATCCGAAATTTAGCTAACAAGTTAGCCATACTGGAACAAAATGTAAATACAATAATATTTTTACACTTTTTTTTTACAGCGCTAATGGCCGCGGGTTCGAATCCCGCACGGAACAAGTATTTGTATAGCCTACAAGTAATTGTTAAAGAAGAAAAAAGAAAGAAAGAGATATTTATTTGGCTATTTCTTAACAAATTAGCAGCACTAAATACTCAAAACCACTGAATTAGATTATATCTCTATGCTCAAAACAAACATTATGTGTAGGTATAAGGTAGACTTATTTATACACTTACAATGAAAAATAAATCATTTTGACAAAGCAGATAGATACAAAATACATTAAAAAAAGTGAACAGCTAAATGAAAACAAAAAAAAACTTTTTTTTAATGGTAAATGGTCGAAATAGGACTGCCACTCTGGAAACGCTAAGATGTGTCATCCTAGCCCTGATTTTCAGTGGATACATACACACTCATATAAAATATATACATATACATAGATATATACACATACATACATAAATATATACATACGCATAACACATATACACATACGGGCACATATTTTCTATATATACGGGGCACATATAATATATACTTATTTGAATTAATGATACAAGTATACACGATTAATACGTTTTTAATATTCTTTTTATATTTAATTTTGGGCCACAACAGCCTTATATTTGTAGTGCTATACCAGTTGTTTATGAATGTTAATTTCATTGCATAACTGGAACCGAGGATATAAAAATAATTTAAATTTCATATAAAAACACTTATACACCACAATAGCTGCCGCATCCATTTAGCATGTTTTATCACAGAACCTGGGATCTATCTACGCGTGCAATCGAAAGAGAATAGTGTAATTAGATTGTACACCTGTGACGTATGAAGGAAAAAAATGACAATTATGCGCACTGGAACATACATAGACACGCTAAAGCATAAAAACATTAAATTTTATATTGATAATCTACGATCGTAGCTGTTCGTTTAATAGTATAGCTTTGTATTTTATACGAAAACTATACACTGATTGTAGGTTTCGAAGAGGCGGTGGAAGGTTATTGCAGCACTTGTTGCGGCATATCTGAAGCTCCCTCGGAATGCGGCAGAATGATGTATAGTTATGAGCAACTTGTTACGGGTCTGGATGTTTGTCCTCGTGAAATTTATGTTATGTAAACAGCTTCCACGATACAAGAGAAAATCCTAGTGTAGGTAACGATCTTTAAAAAAAAATTAAATCGAACTCCGAAAACTGAGGTAGCAATGCCGTGTATTGGCCGTGTAGCAGGTGGAACTGATATACTTAAAAGAAAAAACGTTAAGGATAAATTCATTGATGTTCTTAAGGTAAAAAGTCAATTTATTGTACATCGCTTACATTATTTTTACTTGTTAAACATATAAACCAATGCTCGACTAAAAGTACGTAGTACTATTATGTATTCTGTGCTACTTGGCCACATTTTTTACAAAACTGAAGTCACTAACGACAGTAGATCGGATGATAAGTGGCTGCTGCACCCCATCGACTCTTGGAGCCAACTTCACAATGCATTGTCAACTCTGAGTAATGGATTGCCCCACAGTTTGTAATTACACGGGCTTTCTATACACTTCAGATTGGAACACAACAGTACAGACACGACCATTTTATAGAAACACCACCTGATGGTTAGTGCTGATGCAGATAATAATATAACAATATGATAGTTATAATGTGTAGCAATACTTTTAGGATGACGTAAATGGAGCGGTGGATTCTATTTTTAAAAGCAAATAAAACAAAGGCGAAAGGTTTGGTGTTTGAATGTGACTTCCTGTTTTCATTGACGTGACAACGTCTAATAAATCGATGATTGCCGGCTGCACGCACGAAAAAGGATGACTCATTGTAACGTTACGCGCATAGTAACGTTACGATCGGAGCGAGAGCGCTGCACGAGTGAGCGAAAGGCATCATCGGCTTGAGCGTAAAAGTAAATTTATCAATTAAATTGTAGATTTCATTTCATTTCTTCTTTGTATCCATACAAAATAGTGATAATTCAATAAAAATGATTAAATTTTACTCATAAAAGTATGCAATCATTTCATAAATGTTTTGTTATGACGTTGTCACGTTAAAGTATCGTCAGTAAGCCGACTTTACATAAAACCAATTCTTTTTTTTAGTCTTTTTTCTTCTATGATATGATGAGGGTGTAAATGTCAACCTCACCTGCATGCTGGACATCTTGCTGGTCGACGGATATATCTTTTCCAACCGACTGATGGCAAAGAAACCTTTCAAAAATATCTACCCCAAGTTTTACAGACTGGTGTTGAAGAGCGGGATTACCAATGCGAGTTTATCTGTCCTGAGATCATCAACCTACCCAGCCTGATAGATGAGCAAAGGTTTTAAGTATTACATCATTAGCGCGTATTTGTAAAGGTCAATATCAAACAGTGGATTTATGACGGGCTGGTTAATAAGAAAAATACGATTAAATTAAATAAGTTAACGCCAGTTAGTTTTTGTTTTTTTTTTTTTTCGTTTTGTACTCACTTCCTCTCCTCAAGCTCGAGCTCGTGATGCCTATTGGCGAGCGCGAACACACGCAGCTTGCAGTTCGCCCAGCTCGAGCGCTGCGAGATAATGTACGGTAGGAGGATGGTAAGCCCGCCGTCGTCGTACAGCCACCACACGTCTACTGTTCCCTTGTCCTAGAAATGAAACAATCGTTAATTTTATCACATATATATCTACATATATATATATATATATATATATATATATATATATTATGATATACATGTCAAAAACAAACATTGGGACAGCTGGGCGGGATGTTTGTTACCTTTTCATGACTTCACTGAATAGATCTTGCCAACCTTTACCTGTGCTAGTTACAAATGGACGTGAGTCTGTAGTGTGATCAAAATAATGTAAACAAGAAGGGGCATGTTGGCAAATTGAACACGGTCCCACGAGCGTATAAAATAACGTAAGGTTATTTATTCCGCAGCGCTCCCCGCACCGCGTGTGAACGTAAAACATGTCTTTTATTTAAATCCCCTTAAAACAATAATATATCTCATGGCGACCCTGCGAGCTAGCATAGAGGTCTAATACCTTCTATAGAAAAATACCGCAATGGGGAAAAGTTATGCCAAAGATGAAATCATCATCGCTCAAAATGCGAGCGGAGTAGCTTCAGCAAAAAAAAATTAAATAAAGCAGAAATACCAAAGGCTGAACACTCAAACAACACTTCGCAATCTCTGCTGATAGCCACTATCACCATCAACGTCGTAGCGTCGGTCTACTATCTCCTGAAAAGGTGCCGTAAAAGTGATATCAAAACCCTAAGGCATGAGTTAAATGCCGCCTCTATAGATAATCTAGCCCGCTCTAGCGTTTAACTTCGAGACGAGTGGAGTCAAGGGACAAATGGTGAGGGTACCTCACCATTTGTCCCTTGACTCAGACATCCCGGCTACGTCGCTGTTGCCATCAATTCAAAGTTTGTAATAGTGCACTGTTTATTACGTCCTAGTATGTGCGCCGAAATTAAGTGAATACGTTCTAATAGTAGCCATGGTGTACCTACTACGTACGTCCATATATATGATATAAGGACGACACATTGAAATACGGATACATTGACTAATATGCACGCACTAGTGTTTAACGTTTAACGTGCTAGTAGTTTAACAGTTTGGCCATATTTTTTATAGGAAAAGGGTGACATACGAGCGCACGGTCCACCTTATGGTATGTGTCCGCTGTGGCCCATAGACATCTACATCTATTCTCGATTACGAAACAAAATTCAGAAGCGTTGTCACCCCTGAGGACTAAGATGAAATGTCTCATTTCCAGTAAATAAGGCCTCCGGTTCTCTACACTCACCATACGAAACACAGAAGCATTAAGCTACTATTTGACGCTGGTATTCTGTGAGAGCGTGGTCCTTCCCCGGTCGAGCCAACCCATTCGTGCTACAACTATTACTACTAATATAATTGCAGCATGGCTTCACCACGTAAATATTATCTGTGATCTGTAAATTATTGTCTGATTTTGTGGACACTGTTTTCAAAATAGTTTTATCCTCAGACATGCATGTTTAAATACGATTCTTTGTTCTTCCTAGTCGTATCGAGATATGTAAATCTAATGATTCTTATATTTACGTGAACTACACATTGAGTGAAACCAATATTATTAGGGTTTTAATTCCATTCAATTAAGTTATTTTTATATATTTTCGACCTTAAACGCCAAACTACAGTTTGTACTAACCTGTTTCCTCTGGAATATAGACATCTGCGACAGCTGGTCTGAAGACATTTCTAGCCCCGAAGCAGATTTGTAAATGACTTGTTTGTGGAAGTTCAAAGGTTTTTTATCCTTTTTCTTCTCCTTTTCCCTCTCTTTCTCTTTTATGTCGCCCTTCTCGGATATCGTGAATGATCGGCATGTGGTAAGGGTTAACAAATCTGTAAAATAATTATAACTATTATGTAAACTAACAAACTAACTAAAAAACATAAGTAAATTAAAAAAAGAAAGAAACAAGCAAAATATTCCTACGTGTTAGAGCCGCGCTCTAGCTGTTTTATAACTCTAGCATGAATGAGTGAGGTTCATCTGGGAAGAAGCACGGTCTCACAGAATATCAGCGTAATACTGCTATGTGTAAGTATTGTTTAATAGTGTAGAGAACTGGAGACCCTTTTAAGTGGAAACGAGGCATCCCATCTTACTCCTGAGGGATGACAACACATCTGCATTCTGATTTTTGATCGCGGGTGTAGATGTAAATATATATATATGTGTATATATATATATATATATATATATATATATATATATACATATATATACACACCATCAAGTGGACTGCGTGCTCGTTTGTCCGCCTTATTCTATATAAATGCCTCACAGTTTGAATGTGTGGATGCATACTATATAATGTAGCTGCAGCATGAGTTACTTCGTTTATTGTGGTCCTTAGGGGTGGCAACTCATTTGTGGTCAAGTTGGTCCGTTGATTGACTTGCAAACGGGTTGTACAATCGTTCAATACAATCGTTGGTACAGTCGTATAATGCTATAGAAAAAGCTAAATGTTACGTAAGTCGATGTAACTTAGGTAAGTTTTTATCAATGTCATAGAACTTACCATCAGACGGATTGTTGGATTGTGAGATGTCAGTGAAATGTATAGGTTAAAAAGTAGTGAAGTTACAGCCTACTCCTACTGAGGAGATTTTTGGGTAAAGTTGACATCGCGCTACCCCAAAGCGTTTTGACGGACTTTACACGTTTTCAAATTTATTTTTCTTTATTTCTCAGACATGCAGATTTCCTCACAATGTTTTCCTTCACCGCCAGATACTAAATCAGCACTTAAAACTGCATTTAAGAATTTTATAGGTGCCGGTGTGGATCGAATCTGGGTTGCTCGCGTACTGTGAAATTTTTATCGAGCGCTTATTAGTCCTTGAGCTGTCACGGCTCAAGGTGTGTAAGCCCGATAGTCAAAAATATAAGTAGTAGAAAAGTTGTTTGCAGTGATATAGGAAAACAATGAATGTGTTATTTTCATAGTATCAGAATGAGGCTCGGCCGCCTCACGTACGCTCGTTGTGGTGGTTGTCGGTATATGTGGAGAGCTGCGAGGATATCGAGGAGTGAACGGAGGAAAGTTGTTCGATGTGAGAAAGTAATGAATTTGTCTCTGACTCTAGAGTGAAGCTCAGCTGCCTCGCATACGTACGCAGGTTCTGGTGGCTGGAGGGCTACGAGTGGATTGCGAGGATAATCGGAGAAAAGTTGTTCGGTGTAAGAAAATATTTACAAGTTCCCTACCCGGAAAAAAGACAATAGTCAAACAATTTAAAATTTTCACATTCGACTGGTCTGTCTCCTCTCTAAACCTTGCAGTGTATACGTAGGTCTATATACGTACGTCTGTCGGCTAGAGGGTTGCGAGCCGGGCAGCGCACGGATGTCGAGGAGTAAATGAAGGACAGTTATGCGATGTAAGAAAATAATATATTGTCTTTCGCTATAGAGTGAAGCTCGGCCGCTATCACTTCAATAAAGTTATGGAGTACCTAGACCAAATACCCTAGATGCAAAAGCATTACTGGCATCTCCTTGCATACGTACGCAGGTCGTGTCGGCCGTAAGGCTGCTGTCGGGCAGTTCGCCGATCTTGTAGTAATGAAGAAAAGTCGTTCGAGGTAAGAAAATAATTGACTTTTTAGCCGTGGTACAGCCATGCTGCAGTTATATTAGTAGTATAGTTGTAGCACGAATGGGTCGGCTCGACCGGGGAAGGACCACGCTCTCACAGCATACCAGCGTGAAATGGTAGCTTGATGCTGCTGTGTTTCGTATGGTGACTGTAGAGAACCGGAGAGCCCTTTTACTGGAAATGAGGCATTCCACTTTAGTCCTCACGTTTGACAACGCATCTGAATTTTGATTCGTAATCGAAGATAAATGTAGATGTCTATGGGTTACAACAACCACTTATAATCAGGTGGACTGTGTGCACGTTTGTCACCTTATCCTATAAAAAATAACAACCTCCCTGTCCGCGGAAAAGACAAAAGTTAAACATCAACAACAGCGAAATGTTTATAAATGAGTTGCGAGACAGTGAATTCATGAAATGTTGTAGTAATGAAATCTGTCTTTGTGTTTGTGTACGTACGCAGGTTGTGCCGGCTGGAGGGCTGCGAGTCGGGCAGAGCGCGGATGTCGAGGTCGGAGTCCGCGTGCAGCACGGCAGCGGCGCGCACGCGCAGCTCGGCCGAGCCGTGCGACGTGGCAGTGAGGCCGCGGCTCGGCGCCTCCTCCAGCGCGCCCACGTCCAGCCCGCCGCGCACGCGCACGATCGCCACCGCCAGCCGTGTCTCGAATGCAGTACTGCAACACAACGTTTTATATGAGACAGGAGTACACCTAACGTGTAAGTACACTACTGCGGGAACCACTCCTAACACAAGCCATTCAGGAGGCCGCTGCGTTAAGCGTGATCCCGCGCCGTGTCCAGTAGCGAGTACATGCAGCAGGCTCTTTCGCGTGTGATCGTCACAGCCACGGCGAGATCCTCGGTTAACGCAGTGCCGCTAATACTACGTGACCGTGCGTGATCATTCGTGCCGCACGTAATGGATTGGCGAGTACCAATATCGTTAGAATTTATTCGCCATATTATCTCATGTTAGGTTATATTGACCCATATTCCAGCGTATAGAAAAAAACTCGTAATAACTTAAACTAATAGATTTTTCAATTATTTATCCATTTAAAACATAGTAATCATAATCACAACTTTTTATTATAATTAATTAGGTTTCAGTGTTCAGTCTTTTGAAGATCAAATTTAATTAGCTCGCATATTATAAACTTTTAAGAAGGACACTTATCCCTTAAGTTACCATGGTTTATAAGGTAATAGTAGTTTACAATCAAAATTATATAGCTTCATTTGGCACTAAAGCGTAGGATCTCAGCACAATAAAGTTATTTATTAGTTGAGAGTAGAGCAAGTGCCCCTGACATAAATTATATTATGCGAAAAGGATAAGCAATTGTTGCCGCTTACGACATCTCGACACAAATTTTCCTCAATACTCTTGTATATATACGAGAGTGGATTGAAAAGTACTCAGCCTAACCAAGAAAATAAACACATACTAATTTAGTTATATTTTTATTTTTCTACATAATCACCATCAAGTTCAATACACTTTTGCCACCTCCCCTTCCAAGCATTTAGACTGTTGAAAAAAAATGATTCTTCCTTAGAGTCACAATATGCGTCTACAGCTGCTTTGACCTCGTCGTTTGTCGAAAATCTTTGACCTCCCAAGTGCTTTTTTAGGTTAGGGAACAGAAAGAAGTCTGATGGTGCCAGATCAGGTGAATACGGCGGATGCGGTAACAGTTCAAAGCCTCAGTTGTGAATTTCAGCCATTGACTGTACTGACGTGTGAACACGGGCGTTATCTTGATGAAACAGGACTTTTCTTCTGAGCATTCCTCGACGTTTTTCTTTTATTTCCTCTCGTAAACGACGTAGTAAGGTGCAGTAGTAATCAGAGTTTACAGTCTGACCCCCTTTCAAGATAATCAATCATAATCACACCTTTCGAGTCCCAGAATACTGAAGCCATCACCTTATTTGCCGACAAAATCGACTTAGCCTTTTTAGGGGGTGGTGAACCAGGTCTTCTCCACTGTTTTGATTGTTGTTTTGTTTCCGGTGTACAGTAATGAACCCATGTTTCGTCCATAGTAACAAAACGATTCAAAAAATCATCTGCATCGGCTTCAAATAACTCCAAACAGTCGCGTGAAATAGTCAATCGCGTCCTTTTTTGTTCAACTGAAAGCAGTCGCGGAACCCACCTCGCAGACACCTTGTGGAAACCCAACTCGTTGACAATGATGTTTTGAGTTCGTTCATAAGAGATGCCTATAATCTCGGCTATCTCTCTAATTTTTAATCTGCGGTCTCCCATTATTAAATCAAGTACTTTTTTAATATTTTCGTCGGTAGTTGACGTCGAAGGCCTTCCAGAGCGGGGTTCATCTTTCACACTCTCTCTACCACGCTTAAATTCTGCTATCCATTTTTTGACGGATGAATATGACAGAGCACAATCGCCTAATGTACTGACCATGTCATCATGGATGGCTTTTGATGATAGCCCCTTCTTATGGAGGTACTTAATGACGGCACGCTGCTCGATTTGCTTCATTCGCGGAAATTATGTCCGATTACTTTGTTAATAAATTTATAAAATCACAACTAATTATCGCACACGTTTCGAACTTCACACAATGAACTAGTCTGAACTGAACTAAATAATGTAGGTAGATTTGATTTTTAGAATTGAATGGATCTGTGTGAGGCCGAGTACTTTTCCATCCACCCTCGTACATTATAATATATATATCTTACTGCAGCACATTGAAGTAAGCGACGAGGTCTGCGCTGGGCGCGGTGGCCCAGTCGGCCTTGTAGCCCATGAGCAGCACGTTGGGCGCCAGGCGGCCCAAGCCCGCCGCCTGCATGAGCGCGCGTGAACCCGTCTCGAACGCGAACCCGCTCACTGAAGCGGGGAACGCGCGCACCTTGCGCCCGCGCAACCACTCGTCCGCCGCGCGCGCACGATTCGCGCGCTCCTTGTACGACAACTTGTTCTGAAAAGGAATTTAGACTTCAAGAATATCAAAATGTTTTTAATAATAATATTAGAGTGACAAGCGAGCTCGAAATAACGGAACTCCATAATTTTTATTATGTTACTCGGCGATAGGAATAAGCAGTGGGATGTTACCGATCCAGAAGGATTGGACGGTCGGGCAGATGGTAGAAATAGATAATAATAATAATGACCTCCAGACCGAATCGTTCACGGCGGCCAGCCTTAACGGCGACTAGCCATCGGCGCAGGATAGGATTATAGTGCCCAAGTGTATGCGCAAACACAGGTGCACTCTCTATTCGCTCACTCTCGTAATCCGATGGGACGGTAAACCGACCCGACCGGAGAGAGATCAGGCGCAGTACCAACAGCTTTACGTTCTTTCCGAAGTAAGGGGGTGAGACACCGCCAACTTCCTGACTCCGGGCAGCTACTAAGAATTTCTTGACGGAAAAACTCAAAAACTCAATAGAGATATATATTAGAGATATGGTAGAGCTACACCTAACTTATCCATTAGACAGTAAGGACCAAGTTCGCTCAAAATAGCAGCGTAATACGTGTTTTGTACTGATGGAATTCCTTCTTACTTAAATGACATTTCATTTTAGTCCTCATGAGTAAGAACGCATTTACATTTTAATTCTTAATCGTTAATAGTTGCCTGTTGAGCCCCAGCATCCACTTACCATCACGTTTTTCATTTAAGTTGTTTAAATTCTTCATGCCTTGATTGGTACGCATAAAATTAGGGACAAGCAATCAAATTCACCAGCTTTTCCTTTTGACTGTTTGAAAATGTTAATGCATTTCATCGCTACTTACAAAAAACTTTTAAGTGAAAACATATTGCATATGTACTGCACATTCGAAAATGTATTGTGCTAACACAGACGAGTAAAAAAAGTAAGGACATGAAGCACCCTAAAGCAAGCCAGCTACGTGTAAATACGAACCTACATGCACACACTCACACAAAGATAAGCCGATAGGCCGCCATTACGTTCGCGTATCAAAAATTGATATAATGCCGTGGTGTGTTATTAAATGGTGCAAAAATAATACCACATTACAAAAAAAGTTATTACTTTTCACAGGTAAGCCAGTTCTAATTACATTGTTTATTACGCACATTACGCACACATATACAGCATAAATGTACATAATGTACTTCACTTGCTAGTATCGCCACGGTAATATTATCTATACAGTATTCCAACTTCATACAAACGGACGAAGCGAGAGCTATGCCTACGCGCCTCGATCTCGGCATGCGCTCGGCATGCAGACAGTCGAGACTGTGCCGCAGTCATGATTTTGTCAAATATATAAAAAATGGAGGAAATAAATAATAGAATAGAAATAAAGAAATAATAAATCTGAACTTCATTTAAAAACAAACATATAAATTGTAAAGTAGCTGCAGGTATCTATAACCAATTAAAAGATATTCCTTTTCACCACGTTGTCCATGTTTCCCAAAACAATTTTTAATTTATATTATTTTTAGCTTTATATTAGAAAGCGGATTTTTTATATTTAAAAATCTAATAATAAAGCATTTCGTAAGTCTCAGCCGAGGTGCAAATATTTTTCGGTCGCAAATTTATTTAACCGATTTGTTATTCAAACATAAACATGGTTTTTTAATTAAATCTACCAATCAAAAAACGACACGCATTTTTATTGAACACTTCCTATTCGATTCACAAAGTACCTATTTTATTTGTTTATATAAAAAGTATATTTACAATCATAAAACTAAATGGAAACACAAAGTAGGCAAATGTAAAAATTCTGGAGGCAGGTAACCCTATCACATGTTTACGTGCCGCACGGCTGTAGGCATTTATTTGAAAGATACGGCCGAGTTACAATACTGTATAGATAATATTACCGTGGTATCGCGGTGCGGAGTCCTTACTTTTTTTACTCGTCCGTGTGTAACAATAGAGTATATAACAATAATAATAACGTAACACATTTTAACACTTCCCTTTTGATTTCTCGTGCGAATACTAACATTGATTAAAACGTATTTTAAGGATTTTATCGATTAGTTTGACTTATTTTTGTACCTATTATTAATTCCCGACATTTCGGGTGAATTACAGTACCCATGTTTATGGAGGGATTGAGGTGCTTATCGTCCTGACGTCATAGTTAACCCTGGTACCACTTTCAGATTTTGAATATTATTTTTTTTTTCACACAAGTGAATTCAACAAATGAATGATTTGATGGATGCAGGTAGCCCGGGACCGTGCTTTGTGGTAATCCTTGGGGTAGGCCTATGTTTAGCAGTGGACTTGTGAAGGGCTGTAATGATAATGATGATGATGAACTTGACACGTAAAGTCAATCAACACATTTTTGTGGCGCTCCGCAGTATTAAGCAAGATCTCACCTGCGATATGTCGGCGACGATCATTAGCGAGCCGGGCTTGGTGATGAGGTGCGCGAGGTCAACGAGCGCGGGCCGCTGGTGCGCACGGCCCGTTAGCACCAGCAGCTGCGGCCAGTAGTTCTTCACGTGCTCGCCCGTGCGCGCCAGGCTGTGCGCGCTCGACAGCGCTGTCTTGTACATCTGCGCCTGCGTGCTGCTGCCCCAGTTCACGTCTGTAAGAGGAGGATAATCTAATTATATAAATTATAACACCGTGTAGTGGCGGTGTAAGAATATCCATTACTCCATATCATCCCGTTGATGTCGTGAGTGGCAACAATGAGAAACCAGCCGTCTGTATTTAGTTGCCCAAATACAAAGACTTGGCTATCGAGCACACTCTTTTAAGTATTTTTAAATATTTTTTACATATCCCCTTAATTTGACGCTAGAATTATATGACCTTTCATTGTAAAGTTCTAGCCTTTGTCCACTCTTATTGTTGGCGACGCGCCTATTAGAATATTTCAGTTTATTAAGTCAACCGATGACGAATAACTTCTCAAAGGCATATTGTCCAATAGCAAGGTTCTGATAAGAAAATGCTTAGTTAAATCTTAAAGAAATATCGAATTAATGATATGAAGGTCTTGGGTTCGACTCCCAGGCCGGACTAGTTTATTTGTTTTCCTAAGTAATATCGCTTAATAAATTCATAAGGAATTTAAGATATAAATTATGCTACCGGATTTGTTCCCCGGTTGAAATCATCTTTCCAATGATGTAAATTCAAAGGAATATTAAAGTGAAGTTAGAGATCGGATTTGTTCCCCGGTCGAGATGATCACTCTGTGCATAAATAGAATTAACGGAAATTAATTGCATAAGTATTGTCTTAAATGCCTATTTGCCATGATTGATTTATGAGAACATTCACTTATATTGTTATCTGATAAGAAACATGATATCTGATAAGAATCTGATTAGAAATAGTTTCCTACAGTTTGAAAATTGTGTAGAAGCATTTATTCACCCAATATTGTTAAAATTGGTGTATATCAGACTTTCATTTTTTCTGATAGCCGAGAGCCGTGCAAAAGTTAGTTGTTCAAATAGTGTGAGTTCATAGACGCACGCTAGCCACGTACTTAGGAGGCCAAATATGTAAAAATTTAAATATTTGTAATTTCAGCAATTTATGTAAAAATGACTTGTAAAACATTTCAGGTTGATTGTACGTGCTAAAAAGGTGAATTCTGTGTTATTTTTATGTGAAAATTCCTGTGTATAAGTGAAATAATGATAATTTTGTATAAGAAATTTAAAAGTGTTTTAATAGTGAAATAAATAGAGAAAATGTAAATTAAACTATTGTATTAGTTAACATATGTATAATTTCAAGTGGAAAACATTGTTTTAACTTTCTATGTTAAATATTTAAGAAATTTCGACTTTGAACTTGTGAGTAAAATAGGCATGTTTTGTTAAATAAATAATAGGTTTTTCGTGATATGAAAATGTAATGTATATCGTAGTGTAGATATTGTTTTGTGCTATCTATACAGGTATATTATGTTAATGTACGACTTATGCAAATAAAGTAATTAAGTAAAACGTGAGAGAGTAATAGAACAAATTCATGTAATTGAGTTGCGCAAGCGCGCGACTGGCGCGGCTCACTTTCGCGTATAGCTCTGGGGTAGCTTAGAAAATGAGTTTTATTGCAATTCGTTCGGGAATCCTTCGGAAAAGTTCGGGAAAAAAGTTCGAAAAAAGTGAAAAACCTGCAGTCAATAAGAAGAGTATAGGGAAGTGATAGGGAAAAAGTGATTACTCTCTCACGGAACGGTTTGAAGATAATTGCTGTTTTATTCCCAAGTAATTCATCCCTCAAGATTATACAGTCCACATCGAAGAATTAAGGCGTTGGGACCGGGACCACTTCGGAAGACCCGTAATCCCCGTCTGAACCTACTCGCTGAAAAGGAAGAGGTTATCGCCCTTGTGTGTTACTCCGTTGCGGAGATCACATACGTTGTTCCCGAACCCAACGTAGGCGTTATAGGAGGCCGGATCGAGAGAAGCCTCGATTCCTTCCTTCTGTTTCTTAGTTTAACGTTTGTCTGGTTCCTTTTCACTTATGTACTCCTACTGTCGCCCATTCATTGAGTGCCTTACGATTGTTCAAGAAGAATGTTTTAGAAGTAAAAGTATTATCAAGTTTATTGCAAATTAGCTTTAGTAATGTTCTATACAAATATCCGAAGTATTTTGGTATCATATAATTTGTTACAATATTTTTTAAGCCTCTGACTCCCGAGCTAGGTTAGAAAACCTGTGTTACGAGAGTCAGCGATCTCCCTAATATAATGACAGCTACTTATTTTATGTAAATAAAGCAATTTTAAAATCGTGTGTGTGTGTGTGTGTGTGTGTGTGTGTGTGTGTGTGTGTGTGTGTGTGTGTGTGTGTGTGTGTGTGTGTGTTTGCTTGCGGCTGAGTGCGTGTCTGGGCAAGTGTGTGTGTGTGTGAGTGCGCGTGAGTGTGCGTGCGTTCGCATGTGTTCGTGTGTGTGGTTGAAATTTAAGATTTAAACAATTTTTTTTACATGTTTGTAATTTTTTTTAATACTAATATCGATTGAGTTTGTTCATAATCTAATCCTAATAGCCAATTCTTAATTTTAATTTTAATTTTTCTACTAGTTAAGGGATATATATTTGTTAACTTATTAATTTTGTTGTATAAATATAAAGCTTTATATGCATGTTGCCGTCTAGCAGAGGCTGTTTGACATGTTATTGGTAAACACACATTTTTTATAACCCGTTTTTTGTTATAATCAGTGGCATTATAAATGGTAACCATATGCTGTTTAGTAATTAATTTCAAAATGTACAGTTTCCTCACAGTTAATACGCGACATATCTCATACAATTCTTTAGTGGGAAATCTGTATGGCCTAAAGGTCATGACTTTTAAGAGGGATCTTTGTGCCCTTTCCAGGCGGATTAGAAAGGTCTTACAGGCTCCTCCCCAGACGTTTATACAGTACCCTATTACGGACTGAACTAAAGCATAGTAAATTGAACGCAAGAGAGGTAAATCAGCAGTGTATCTTAACTTTTTTAAACACCCAAATAAGTTTTCTAGTACGTTCAGTTGTAAGCTCTATGTGGGAGCGCCAGTTAAGTTTGTCGTCCAGTATTACACCAAGATATTTGACACTATTGGTTTTAGTAATTGCAAGACATGAACATAGAACATAGACACAACCCTAAGATCAAGGTTTACGGATCCAGTGTTCACTGTGGAACACTGTACGTATGTAGATTTCGAAATATTTAAGGTTAGGAGATTAGCGCCGAGCCAATGGCCAACTCTGTGAAGTCCCAGCTGAGCGTTATGTCGAGCCTCATCCCAAGTCTTACCATGGAAGACTAAAGCTGTATCATCAGCATAGGTAAATATTTTGCCGTTTACTAGAGGTTGTATTATATATATTAAAGTTGTAGCACGAATGGGTCGGCTTAACCGGCATTGAACCACGCTCTCACAGAATACCAGCATAAAATAGCAGCTCGATGCTGGTGTTTCGTATGGTGTGTAGAGAACCGGAGACCCCTTTTTAGTTGAAACAAGGCATTCCATCTTAGTCCTCACGGGTGACAACGCACCGTCTATTTTTTTCGAGACGGTCAAAAAAATTATTCAATATATATATATTGTATATCCGCGTGTGTATCGGTTGCCCGCTGATAGTTATCATAAACATGTACACCAATACTTTAATATCGAGTACCTAACAATGGTGAGATTTTAGGTCTTGTCTGGTGAAAACTTACACGGGTAGGTCAGGGTTGACTGGCAGAGAATGCCATAAGGCATTAAGTCCGCCTTTATATCCCTTAGTATATAAGGTTTATAATAAAGATTATATAAATAAATAAAATATACACGGTGTGAAGAGTCGATATTTACCTCCGTTCTAAATTACAACGTGCACAATGTTGTAAATTCGAAAGCGAGAGAGATTCATTCGAAATGAGCACTGGTGGAGTTTCGGTGCTTCAAAACTCATACAAAATCAAATAATATGCTCACCGAGCCCGTTTCTGTGTTAATGTTTGGGTAACAATCATTATCGACCACATTATTGGTCCACATCATTGGTCCAATATGGGTTAAAGGTACATTGATGGGAGTAACGTATCTGCAAATGATACGTTCCGTTATCGACACAATGTTGGAAGACGTTTCTCTGAACCATCAAGGAATGTACTTCCAACAGGATGGATGTCCAGCACATTAGGAACAATCTATGCACGCATACCTGGGCAGTCATTTCGGTGATCTGTAGACAGGTAGCAGTGGATCTGTGAACTGGCCCGCAAGATCACCAGATCTAACACTTCTAGTCTTTTATTTGTGGCCGATTGGTGTACACAGAAGAAGGACAAAGTGTTAGTTATTTAAAGCAGCGTATAATAGAAAAGTGATAAAGACACGCATAGAAAAATGATAAAACTACAGAGACGTGCTAATTTGTGCTTAGAAAGAAACAGCCTATACATTTTGAACAATAACTGCGATATCGCTAAAAAGGTAAATTTTGGTAAATAACAACAATATAGTATAATTTTGTACATATCAATCAATGTAGTTTGTAAAAAAGTTGAATCCGATCTTTTGAATACGTATATGACGTTGCAGTATACGGTAGGCGTAAATGTTATTATTAGTAACTTTTTATGAATTCATTACAATGCAATATAAAATTTAACATGTAATTCTACTCAACTATACAATATTGGTCGGTCCTAAGGCCGTAAAAGTATGAAGGAAAGTTTGAAATCACAAAAATAATAATCTGAAACGAATGATTTTCGGTTGTGGCGGGAGATGATTTTCGGTTGTGGCGGGAGTGGTCGACACGAATGTATGTCAGAGCCAAACAAGAAATAAGACGTATTAATGAACGCCTAGTCGTAATGCACATCATGTAATGTATCAATTTTTGGCGTTCTACAATGTGAATTTCAAATGCCATGCATTGCAAAACGAACAAATGCAGCGGATTGTCATTAATACTGGAAGTTTCACTAGCGTTTTTGCATTGTAGCTAGTAATTGTGTCGTAAAGAAAGTAGACCTAACTAGTCGTTCTGTAATCAGGCTATACATTATCTGCCGTTTTAGTCCATGTATCGTGACGTCATTCTGGCTGAGCGTCCGTAATCTGCATTCGTAAACGGCGCCGTATCAAAAAACACTTAGCTGCAAGCATTAAAAGACAAGTATTGCAGCTAGGTCTTTTTGAATACGGCTGATTCAAAATTTTAGCTGGAACGATGTTTCGGCCGCCCACTTGGCCGCCTGGCGTATACAAAACGATGATGAATGCCGAACGAAAGAACTTCACAATATCTCTAATTGACTCTCCCGATGGACTTGAAATTTAGTATAGTTACTTGACGATAGTCCCATAAAAATCTTGATATTTTATATTTACGTTATTATCGTCTATTATCGTGCGTCTTAACTCGTCTAACTTACGGACCGTTAACTCAAAGGTAGTGGGTTCGAATCCGTCATACGCCTACGATTCAGTGGTTAACTCGAATATTAGTAATGTTAGTAGCATTAATAGAATTTTCTGAAGAAAACAAATTATTCATTTACGCTGGTAAATTAGGACGTATGGTACTGAGCCCGATGTAACTAATCATAGATAATATACTATATAGGGCATAACAAATGCTGTTTCCAAACGCACTATTACAATAAGTAACAGTAGCTTATAACTAATAAGTATTAGAAGTCCTTGGCGAAAGGATTTCTTTTATGACAAACATCTTTACTCACAACAGTTGATTACCGCTTACATAAATAAAGTAACAACTATCTCTATATCTGTCGCTTTCTATTGTCATTAAGTGAAAAGGGAGGGAGCAACTAAAGCATTTCTTAAATAGACGTCGGCTTTTATGAGTAAGAGCGAAGACTTTTTCTTAAATCAGAGATTATCAATAAATCACGTGTTGTAAGAAGACCGAAGGTGTCCTAGTCGTTTATTTGGTATTCTGACCACTCATTCAACCACGTCGTGATTTACTCAGTTTGAGGATTATAATTTCACTACTGAAAATAGATCTTTTGAAGTGGGAAAATTTTGCTAATCCAAACATTTCTGACTTTGGGCGCTGTTTCGCGTCACAGACCTAATTTTAGGCCCGTTATTGAGATGTAATATCGACGTACGCTGTAGGCACAGAGTAACGAGCTGTAGGTATGATAGTTTCTCTGTAAAATTTAAGATAGCCATAGGCGACAGAAATCGTAGTAATTTAGGCTTAAATTCCTGTTTATCAAAATATACTTAACAAGTTCAAATTAAATTTTAGTCTGATCAAGAAAAAATATTGTGAAGTGAATAATATTTCTTAAAATGCCAATACAATACAAAAAAAAATTGTGTAGGTCTTTTTTGTTTCTAAAATTTGTCAGCAATTTCAGATATTTTAAGTCTTGAATTTGACGCTTTAATGGAAATGAAGAAAACCTCTGTTTAGTTTTCTTGAGAACATTCATAAATAATGTAATAATAGAAAAATATCTCTCATAACTATTTAGACAATAAAATTTCCTAAATTTATGAGTAATCAACATTTGTGTAAGATAAGCGGTTGATTGACATTAACTAACAAAAATTGAAAGTACTGTTTTGAGCTTATCAGCACATGAAACATACGTAGGTATACGTTCTTAAAAATGGGCGTTGGAAAGTTGGAAACCACGTTTCATTTGGTTTGCACAGCAAACCAACCTATTGAACGTATACGTTTCCTGACCCAATAACCTATTCAATAACTGATGATCATGAGTCGCGTTACGGCTACCAGACCATGGAGTTAGTCAAAGAAAGCATACATAAAGTATACTAAGACTAAGCTCGCCTTACAGTTTCTTATTAAAATGAATCTCTCACTATATAAGGCTGGACTTGACAGTGATTAATGCTGTTTGGCAGAAATCAGTCAATTTAAAAAAATGTACTTACATTCATTAAAAGTTTATACAACATAATTACAGAGTCATATATAAAGTATGAAAATATTTTAGACTTAAATTTTTCTCTTAGCATTCTAGTGTTATTGAATATAGAAATGTGTCTTTAACTTTTATAGACCATATAAATAATAGCTTGGAACATAAAATGTAGTATTGAAGTTAAGGCCTATATACATCCCACAGGCCCAGGCACAAGCACAGAGCACAGGCCTTCTCTTATTTTAGAGAGAGTAATAAGTTCGCTGTACTGCTCCAGTGTATGTTAATGTTATCAGACTTCACACGCATTCGAAACATTTTATTCCTCAGACGTGTAGATTTCTTCACGATGTTTTCCTACACCGCTGAGTGCGTGGTAAAATTGCAATTAACAATTTTATAGTGATAATTTACAGCGAGCGTTCAGCCTCTGAGCAACTACAGCTCTTACGAGCAGACGGCCGCATGATATATTAAATACAAAAATATTAAGTCGGTTGTGTAGTATGAAGTACAAGTGATGCAATAATTCATAGAAACCGATACGGATTTAACTCTCAGTCAACAGTAAGCTATTCTCGTCTACGGAACTTGTACTGATACAAACGTGAATACCCGTGTAAATGAACAGTTTAAACAGTTGTAAAATTATTTTTTTAACCATTACAAGCCCGTGCTTGGTTATCTCACCTGATGGCAAGTGGTGATTAATTTTTTTTTATATAGAATCATGGTAACAAGCGAGCACACAGTCAACCTGATGGTAAATGGATGTTGTGGCCCATAGACATCTACATCTATCCTCGAATAGGAATCAAAATGCAGATGCGTTGTCACCCCTGAGGAGTAAGATGGAATGCCTCGTATTCAGTAAAAAGGGTCTCCGGTTTTCTACAGTCACCATACGAAACACAGCAGCATTGAACTGCTATTTTACGCTGGTATTCTGGAAAAACGTGGTACTTCCCCGTTCAAGTTCGTGTTGCAAACATAATATAGCTGCAACATGGCTCTACCATGTAAAAATACTGCACTCCAGTGCTTAACAGAACACTTGGTTCAAATGCGTGGTGCAACTCACCTGGTTTCCTGTAATGCACTATGAGGTACAGAGTGAAGAATATCGAAAACGTGACGAGTGACATCACCCAGCTGATAAGGAGCATGATCGCCACGCACATGAGGAAGCCCAGCAACGATATCCATACGTTGTAGTACTGTAACAAAATACCATAAGTTATTTGTATATCAGGCTGCCATTATCTTAATGTTGGATGGTTTATTTTATAGGATAGGGTGACAAACGAGCACACAGTCCACCTGATGGTAAGTGGTTGCTGTGGCCCATAGACATCTACATCTATTCTCGATTACGAATCAAAATGCAGATGTGTTGTCAACCGTGAGGACTAAGATGGAATGCCTCGTTTTCAGTAAAAAAGGTCTCCGGTTCTCTATACTCACCATACGAAACACAGCAGCATTAAGCTACTATTTTACGCTGTTATTCTGTGAGAGGGTGGTCCTTCCCCCGGTCGAGCCGACCCATTCGTGCTACAACTATACTTCTAATATAACTGCAGCATGCCTCTACCACGTACAATATGTGGATGTAATTAGAAACGACAAAACGAAAAATCTTGTCACTTCCGATTCCGATAGATGGCGGTAAACTATCTCATTTACGCCAGGCGTAAAATACCCAAACCAGCGATGAATAGCAGCGTTGAAGGCTTGAAGGTGCGAGATGTCTAGTATTGATACCATCAGTCCGCTCGCCAAGAGTTACAATTAAGACAATCCTCTTTGCAACGGAAGTGGCCTATAGATTTATTTTTAATAACATAACATTAACTAGTAGCATAACGGGAAAGATAACAACGGGTTTATCTTTATTGTGTATGTAAGTATCTATTTTTTTTTTGCTGAGAGTTTTAAGAATAAAACCATACAGAAGAATATCGTACCCCCATACTACGATTTTCTTCTGTATCGTGGAGTCGTTTTCGATACATAAATAAAACATCAAGACTCGGAACTTGAAATAATCTCTGCACTGCTATCGTCTAATTTAAAACTATACACGTCTTTCTTATACTTTTAGTAAATTTTATTACTTTTGTCAAGTCAAATATAATAAAAATGCTAAAATTTACAAAATCACATTGGAAAGGGCGTGTAGATTTAAATTTTATAATACTTTAAACGGTAAATGTGATAAATTTTATCTAAAATAACAAGGAAGACGAGTGCAGTTTTAAATCAGACGATTTCAATTGAAGGTACCTACTGTACAGTGATATTACATACGGCACAGAAATATACGACGGTTTACGGCTCAATCCATCGATAACTCCCTCATAAAGTGCTTGCAGTAGAACTTGATAATGGCCGTCGGATATAGCTGTTCGAATTTGCCATTAAACTACTATTGTTCGTATTGTATATCACATGCAAGTCTACACCAACAACATATTATGTTAAAATATTGAAGAATATAATGTAATGGTTACGGTGCAGTTCAGCTACGGCTGCTAGACGAATGAGACGTCCCGACCGTGGAAAGTTCTCAAAGAATACCAACATTTCGTATGGTAAATGACAAGATTAGGAAGTCATTTTTACTCGTCACAAGGTATTCCATCTCAGTCCACAGAGGCAAAAGGATGTTTGCATTTTAATTCTTAATCGAGGATAAATTATGTATATGGATCACAACATCTACTTACTATTAGATATGTTCTCGTTTAAATGCAACTAGTTTTTAAGGATTTTATCGCGTAAATTAACTTATTTTATATTCCCAACGTTTTGAGCACTTTACAACACCCATCGTCACGGGGGTGACTTATGTGTTCGACGTCGCAATGTCATAGTTAACCACGGCTACCTCCGGATTAAGATTATTAATTATTTTTGTTCATATCTACGCAGTATGAACTTTAGCATTATAGCACATTATAGTATCTTTTGAAGTCTTGCAGTCGTATGCTTGGGTTGGGATTTAATTTTATTAATTATAAGATCTCAAGCAGATGGTAGCACCCAGCCATCTTCTCTATTGAAATTAGTAATTTTTTTGATTTCAATAGCCACGCGAATCATCCTTGGAAGGAATCGGTGTTCTTTAGCGATGATTTGTGATTTATCAATTCTGATGTAGTGACAAGGGCGATCTTGTACGTGTTTACAGATTGCATACTTCCGAGTTTGACTTCCTCAGAGTTTCGACTACTTCAGAGTTGTGTCCTCGTTTATCAGCGTTACTTTACAAAAAACCAGAATTTTCTTTAAAGTTTTTGTTATTTTGCTCGGTGTTATTGGCTTGACATATAATACCTTTTTTTTATAAAACTAATATGACCTAAGTAGCTTTTGCAGTCCACGGACACCTGCAGTTAACTTCAAAAAAGTCTTGACTTCTAAGGACGGTTATGTTAAATATACTGGCTTCTACACCCAGCAAACTGGGAAGCAGCAGTGCACGCACTGGCTGAAGCTGCCCACAAGGTAAGAGGAGTTATACTTATACCTGGTATTCCTTTTTTGCTAGGCACATTTTTAGAGACTCATAGCAAACTGTAATGTGTGAGAATCCCTCGCCGTTGGAATGCAAATAGCTTCTAATAAAACAAATATAAGTCAGTATGATATAAAATATAATAAAACATGGGCGGATTTCAAAACAACCTAAATAGATCAAGGTGTATGTGGCCTGAATAACAAATGCAATGAACAACTCACCCGGAATGTGGGCCGCCAGCCCAGGGGACGCACTAGCGCTGCGTGGAATGTGCAGAAGTTGATGAGGGCGTAAGACGCGAGGTAGAAATTGGAGATCAGTGGTGCAATGGTGTTCAGGTCAGCTGCCAAACATAAGATGAATTTGTAGAGTAGCTCAAGGCTAAACGATCGCCGTAAAATTCACGGTACGCGAGAGGCGTTGCAAACACGTTGGCACCGGTAAATTATTAATTACAATTTTAAGCACCAATTAATATGGCCGGCGGTGAAGGAATACATCGCGAGGGAACCAGAATTTCTGAATAATAAATATTATGTGAACGCGCCCTAAAGCTGCGCGGTGGTGTCATTGCTCCATAAACCCCCTCTCAGAAATGAGAGGACGTTGTAGGGCGTATATAATATACTGATATTTTATTGTTGTCTCGAAAAATGGTCCTGCTTTAAAATAGTAGATTAAAGCTATATATAATGCGACCTTAATGACACCTTAATGCTAATGGAATTGTACTTATCTAAAAATGAAATTCCGTTGTTTCTTCTTAATAAAAAATACAATTTTGTTTGTGTAAACGTTTCATAATATGAGGTTCCTCTAATAAAGAAATACTACGATTGCATTGGTTCCTCCTTTATCATAGCCAGTGGTCACGAGGGGAGTGTTAGCGTGCCAATGTCAAGCATTTAACATGTAACCTGTAACAAATGACTGATCTGACTAAATCAGCATCGCGACCTGCAGCAATTACTCACAAAAATATTTGTTCCGTGAGGGATATGAACCCAAGACACATAGCGCTGTAGCCAAACACTCGAACACTGTACTACTGAGTAGTCAACACACTCCTAAATGATTTTTGTTAATTAACGGCATCAAAATAATGAGAACCGTATAGCAGCGGCGTAGGAATATCCACTTCTCCATATCATCCCGGGGGAGTCGTAAGAGACGACGGAGTGAAATAAAACAGGTCAGCAGCATCTTCCTCGTACCAACTCAAAATAATGAAGAACTGCAGTTGCCATCTAGCCTACGAAGGGGAGGTCTACCTTCAGCAGTGGATTTAAGTGAAAAGGGTGTAATGATGATGATAATGGCTGTGATTGGTGATCACGTGTAAATGACATACTGGCTGTATTAACACTTTCATACCTATTAATAGAAAGATCAGTGATACGAAGAATGTGAGCACGTAACCACGATAAGGCTCGCCGTGACGGCCGTAGGGTTTAGCGAAGAAGATGAGTCCTGGGTAAATTCGGTCGACGCCCAGGGCTTGGATCAGTCGCGGCACCGACAGTAAGTTCGTCAGAGCCGTCGAAAGAGTCGCAGCCCAACAACCGCCGTAGATTAACGGCCCCCATGCCGACATGAGCTGCATGACCTAAATACGGAAAGAGAATTAGTAAATCATGAAATTATTATTATGAATAAATCAATATATTTATGTTGTACACCTCAAAATAAGGAGAAAATATTGAAAAACAAGGAAAGTATACAATTCTTTTCTTAGTAACGATCTCTTCCAGAACATCGTAACATAAAATAGGATGTTTTCAGAGTCACCCGAAATGAGATAGCTAGAGCAACATAGTTTGGCTTAACAGGGACAAACCACGCTCACATAGAATACCAGCGTATTATAGCAGCATACTATTGAGGTGTTTCGTATATAAAGCTAGGAAAACCGGAATCCTTTTTAATGTGAAGCGTGCAAGAATAAAAATAAATAAATAAAAGGTATTTATTTGACACACAAAATACAATATTAAAACTTAAATAGAGAGCTTAATAATTAGTTGTGACAAAACGGTCTGTGACTCAGTTGTAACGAGGAACCCATTACTCCTGCTATTCTGCCACAGCCTTTGCGCATAATTCATACGGGGTCTTAGGCAATTGATGAAACACACGTATCAACAGTAAAAAGTAAAAAATAAAAATAAAAATAAAACAATCAATAAATTATAGTTATATATCCACCTTCCTAACTTCCTATCGTCTCCTGGGAGTCATACGAGGCGACACAAGGAAGCAAAAAACAAAAAAATAAACAAAACAAAAAAGTGGTAAAATCAAATTTTTGTGCAACCGACATCAATATAAATTCAATCAGAACATAATTAACTTATTGAGAAGAACTCAAAAACTACTCGAGTCCCATATAGATTAGATCACATGAGAAGCATTAGCTTTCAAAAAAAATCATCAAGATCGGTTCACGTAGAAAAAAAGTTCCGGGGTTAACACACACATAAAAAATATAGTTCATTCTAATAACTAGTTAGAAAGATGCTGATGTCCACTTCCTACTCTTAACCGACTTTAAAAAAATATAGTTCATTCTAATAACTAGTTAGAAAGATGCTGATGTCCACTTCCTACTTTTAACCGACTTTAAAAAAATATAGTTCATTCTAATAACTAGTTAGAAAGATGCTGATGTCCACTTCCTACTTTTAACCGACTTTAAAAAAATATAGTTCATTCTAATAACTAGTTAGAAAGATGCTGATGTCCACTTCCTACTCTTAACCGACTTTAAAAAAGGAGGTGGTACTCGATTCGACTGTTTTTTTTAAAGTCGGTTAAAAATAGGATGTGGAAACCAGCGTCTTTTTAATAACTAGTTAATAAAAAACCGGCCAAGAGCGTGTCGAGCCACGCTCAGTGTAGGGTTCCGTAGTTCCCCGTCCGTCACAATAAGTGTTCCCACTTATGAGTTTAAAGGTGGGTATCCATAATGTTCGCGCTCCAGCAGCGCTCCGCGCTCTTGCAACTGCTCCCGGTAGTGGGTACTTTTGTTTCCATCCAAGTTCAAAATGATTTTCCTAGAAAGTCCTTATAAAGTTCTACTTTTCAGATTTTTTTCATATTTTCTAAACTTATGGTTCAAAAGTTAGATGGGGGGACACATTGTTTCTTACTTTTGGAGCGATTATTTCCGAAATTATTGACATTATCAAAAAATGATTTTAGTAAACCCCTATTCATTTTTAAATACCTTTCCAACAATATATCACACATTAGGATTGAAATTAAAAAAAAAATCACTTCCCACTTTACATATACATAGGGGGGCTACCCTAATAAAACATTTTTTTCCAATTTTTTTTTTACCACTTTGTCGGCGTGATTGATACACATATTGGTACCAAATTTCAGCTTTCTAGTGCCAACGGTCACAGAGATTAAGCGAGGACGGACAGACGGATAGACAGACATGGCGAAACTATAAGGGTTCCTAGTTGACTACGGAACCCTAAAAACAGTGGTGTCAACCCCCCTTGGCAATCTACAATCTCATCTTAAATTAAGGAAAAACGAATTAAGCTGACACATTGCTAATAGTCCGCTATAGCTTAATAAACAAGCAAATACCACAAATTTATATATATATATATATATATATATATATATATATATATATATATATATATATATTTCATACTGAAACTATAAAAATTATGAATACTCACTGAATAACTATTATGCAGACCATATTTACATCCAAGTGTAGTATTGACGCACTCCCATAACGAGGTGTAGTCCACAACGGTGCCGTTTTCGAGCACTAAATCTGTCATATTGCCGCTTGCGTCCCTCAATGCGGCACCACCAGAAAAAAACACCATCAGAGCGTAGCTCACCATGGATATCAGTAAAGCCAAAAGTGTCCCTTTAGGAATTGCGGTGGCAGGGTCCTGTAAATAAACATGAAGTATTTTCATGTACTGAAAGTATGCATATGTTTGCGTTTTATAATCTCTTAATTGTATATACTCGTAACAAAAACTAACTCTCATTTTTGAACTTTTGCTAAAAATTTGATAATTAATCCTCAAATTTATATTTAGACATTTCTAAAGGATGTCAAACTCGATATGGATAGTCGAAATAATGTTCTTTTACCGTTAATAAATATAAACAACTAAATTTTCTTTTAGTTGATAATAATACCTACGTATTCGGAAGGAATTAAATTATATTGAATTCTTATACCAGTAAGAGCAACGTCAAAATTTTTATTATTAACAGTTAGTATTGATTAATTTCTATTAACAAATATTTAGTCACTATGAACTACTGCTCATAAAAAACTTATACATATTTTAGTAAGAGCTATTGAATATTTTTGTACCGTGTTTACAAGTAAGAGAAATGTTGAATTTTTTTGTGTTTTTTTAAATTACAATTAAATATAATATAAATCTACTTTATCAAGTCGAGAGTTGGTCGTATTTATGTTAAATAATTATTGACTGTATACTGATAATAACGTATAGTATAGTGCATTGGGGTAAGATCGGTGATGGGGTAAGACTGTAAAATTCAAATTTTCGGTGAATTATGCTATATTTTTGAAAGCTAGCAATATGGTACAAGACTCCATTTTATTCTGCCCCGACCCCAAGTTTCAGCCAGTCGCTCCGAAAAGTAGGGCGTGTGCTGCGCAGTATTTTATAAAACAAGGTAATTTTTGAATTTTTTCGTCTGTCCGATCTTTCCCTATCACTTTTATTTGCGATTTTTAGCGACGTCCGGTCTTCCCCTTGATGGGCAATTCTTCATCATGCATATAATAAATTATGCCTTGTCTTCGCACACGTTATAAGCAGAAACTGTTGAGTTTTGAAAACTAAAATCTTCTTATAGCTAAATTACGTGTAATCATTAACGATCATGTTTCAGAAATCTGACGTATATGGGTGTCGAGAAAATAAAGTTTTTGCCAGACTCTTTTAACTAGTCGAAAATCCGTCCGGTATTGCCCCAACGCACCTTATATAAGACATACTACTTCGCGTGTCTCTTGCAAGAAGATTGACTATATAGATATAGGTTTTCTCATTAAAAAAGTTGCTTGCACTTTCTAAAGGAATTATTTTTGCAACTGGTGGTGACGGAACGGAAGAATATTGGATATATTTTAAAGTGTGCACATCTAATACTATGTCGTTACGTTAATTTATGAGATAGGATTAATGTCCTCTGGGCCGAGTTACAGTCATAATGGCGAGTCTTAACGGCGACTAGCTGTTTGCACAGGACAGGACAGCGTACGAATATGGGCGCAAGTACAGAAGAACTCTCTATTTCTTCACACTTATAGTTCTAAGAGACGGCAATCAAACTGGACCGAAGAGAGACCAGGCGCAGAACTAACGGCTTCACGTGCTTTCCCAGGTACTTTGGTGAAACACCGCCGACTTCCTGACTTCGGGTTTTCCTGATTTTTTGATAGAAAAATACAATAACTGATTTTGGTCTGACCCGAGATTCGCACCCACACAGTCACCAGTCATCAAGTTATTTATGTATTATATAAGCAAGCGGAAATTTTAAAAGGTAAAAAGTTGACGCTAAATTTAAAAAGGAAAATTAGCATTACTGAAACATAGTAAAAGTAAACATTCCTTTGTTTTGGTTTTATTATGAAATAGATAAAGAAAAGAATAAACAATAGTAATTGGAATGGAAACATTCTATTTCATTTATTTAGATAAGATTTTTCTGGAATATGTACGTAGAGAAAATTGAAATAAAATACCGGAAAGCTATTAAAAAATTAATAAATCATTGCATGTGAAACATGCCTTACATTCAAAGCGTTTTAAAAAGTAATTTATGAGTACATATAAAAGCATAACGTTGAGAAATACTATAAAAATAGAGTAAATTACGTGTATAAATATTTAGTGTTCAATAAGGTCACGCAATACAGAAAAAATATAATATAATAGTATCTTTAAGTCGAAAAAGTTGACTCCGAATCAGTTACACAAAAATATTTATATCAATGTATATCCGTAGTGAAATTCATGCATACATTCACGAGTACCTACTTCCATCCAAATATTATTTATATTTAAAAATTTACGGTATCCGTGTCAAAAAGTTGTTGAACACCTGATGATTAGTGGCTAATGCACCCTTAGATTATTATCATCATCGTCATCAACGTCATCCTCAGCGGTACCATTATTTTTCAACAGTGATAGAGCCACGCGACAGCTTCTGCTGTCGCACGCTAAATTCCGCTCGCGACTAAAAATGCTCGGAGCAAGCGGAGCAACAACACCAAGGCGACCCCTGCCACGCTAGCCGTGAATTTTTGCAACATCAGGGGACTTCATTCCGACCTTAACGCTGTCCTCTACTATCTAGAGACGGCGAAGCCGGCTTTGCTGTTTTTAACCGAGACTCAGGTGTCCTCTCCAGCTGATGTTTCGTATCTCTCCTACCCAGGGTACAAATTAGAACACTCCTTTGCGCCTCGGGCTGGAGTTTGCGTATACGTCAGAGAGGACATCCGTTTTCGACGCCTCGGCAGTCTTGAAGTTACGGACCTATCCATCCTATGACTGCGCGTAGACAGCGGAGACCATCCCCGCGTCTACGGATGCCTCTGTAGGTCCCATAGCGGTAATACCGAGACGGACCGACTCGTCGACCACATCCAAATGGCTACAGATTCCGTGCTACAGCAGATCCCATCCGCAGAGATCGTGATATTTGGCGGTTTACCACACCGAATAGCTCGGTTCACGTTTAACCGATCATGCGGGGAGATCTGTTTATGACTTTGCTTTGGCATATGGTCTGACACAACTGGTTACATCGCCTACGTGGATTCCAGATGTGGTGGATCATATACCTTCCTTGTTGGACCTTCTGCTGACCTCTCTTCCGGACGGATATCAGGTTTCCGCCGACGCCCCTCTAGGCTCGTCGGACTATTCTCTTGTCCGGAGTGTGGTGCCAGTCACATTAACGTCGCGGTTGCATTCTGCAGACTGCCGCCGTGTTTGGCACTATAGGTCAGCTGATTGTGATAGGACGCGGTCTTTTTTTACATCCTACCCTGGGGGGCGGCAGATCCCAGCCATGGTTTGATCGCTCCTGTAAAATAGCATCACGCTATAAGTAGGAGTGCTACTGGGCCTAGGCTGACGCATCAACACCAGCGCTCTTAAAAAGAAGTATAATTCCGCATCCAGGTCCTTCAAAAGAATCATTGCCAAGGCAAGGTCCGAGCACATCAGCAGAATTTCACCTTTTCACATTCACCTTTCTTTGGGAACCCGTGCCCTTCTACCTAAAAAAGGAGACCGTCCATCTAACTATAGGCCTATCGCTATCACCTATTTGTTCTTCAAAATAATGGAACAGTTATAAACTGCTAGCTCATGAGGTACCTTGACGTTCATTTGCTGATTATTGACCGTCATTACGGTTTCCTTCTGTTTTACTTAGCTGGTGACCTTGACGTGCAGTTTCACTTGCAAGAGAAGGCCAAATTGGCCTCTAAAAAGTTTTACGTGCTTAGCAGACCGGGATAGTATTTCATACCGGCACACCGCCTGCAATTTTACAAGGTGCGGGTTCGGCCTCAGATCGAATACTGTTCCCATCTCCGAGCTGGGGCTTCCCAGTGCCAGCTCCTTCCATTTGATCGCATCCAGCGCAGAGCGGTTCGAATCGTCGGTAACAAAGTTCTTTTTGATCGGCTTGACTCACTGGCACTGCGGAGAGATGTTGCATCTCTTTGCGTGTTTTATAGCATCTACCACGAGGAGTGTCCTGAGGAATTGTTCAGACTAATTCTAACAACTCAATTTCGCCATCGCACATCGCGACAAAACTTTTGATACTATCCATACAATCTGGATGATTGGTGGTCCACCACTATGCGATTTAGAAGTTTTATTCCTCGCACAACTTTCTTGTGTCATCGACTACCACGAGCAATTTTACAGGACCGATACGACTTAGGAACCTCCAAGAAAAGAGCCTACTCTTTTTTAAAAGGCCGCTAACGCATCTGCAATTACCCTGGTGTTGCAGTTGTTCATTGGCGGCGGTAGCTTACAATCAGATGAGCCAGAAAACTACTTTTTCTGCGTCCAGGGACGGCGTCACTCAAAAATGAGATAACATTATGCAAAGTTTTATAAGGGTTTTACCATTTGTGAGATGAACTACAATCCAAAGTTCTGCGATAAATCCAGTACGTGACGGAAATCATTAAACCACCTCTATTCTTCTTTGAAAATAATCTAGTCAAGTCTCTTCTATAGAAGAGACGGAGACTTGACTGGTAACGCTGGATATATGCTGTAGTAGTGGACTAATAAAGCTGCGTATAAATACAGCATCTTTTTTCATAGCGCGGTAGTTCATTTGTTTGGAAAATGTTTTTTATAGAGTAATTGTGAGAAACGAGCACACAGTCCATCTGATGGTAAGTGGATGCTGTGGCTCATAGACATCTACATTTATGCTGACGCCTGAGGCTAAGATGGAATAATTCGTTTCCAGTAAAAAAAGTGTCTCCCGATCTCACCATACGAAACACAGCAGTATAAAGCTGCTATAGATAAAGGTTAATGTTTATTGCTGTACTATTAGTAATATTTTATGTTGATTAGATAAAAAAATAATATTTGACAGATTTCATAGCAGGGTAGTTAATTTGATCGGAAAATGTAAAGGAGTATATTTTATTGATTAAAACTACTTTTACGGATTTTATCGCGTTTATTTTACTATTTTTTTTAATTCCCGACGTTTCGGGCGCTTTCCAGCACCCATGGTTACGGGGGACTGAGATGACTGACGTCCCGATGTTATTGTAAATTTTTATTTTTATTGGAAGGTACTCCGGGTTTAACAATGACTGTAAAATTATTTTTAATCAATG